TATATATATAATTATTTTAAATCCTTCCCACACTCTTATATTCTAAGCAATGTTTCTAAATTAAAAACACTCTAAAAGAGCACAGAATGTCAAGAACTCAGCTCTCTGCCTCCGGCTGCTCTCTGACATGTACCAGCGCTCTCGGCCATGCCCCTTCTCCTCCTCAGAGCAGAGATCGACATGCTGCAGGAGGAAGCTTCTCCTGCAAGTTGTAGGCTGCACACAGGTGCAACAGGTGCTAAATAATTAAAAATAATTTCTTTTGAATAAAAATTCCATGCTGATCGTGTGGCTCATCCATCAGCCAGTTATGTGTCATGTGCAATCTTACTTTGAAAAACCGCGATAGAGCGAGTCCGCGAAAAACAAACCACAAATTAGCGAGGGACTACTGTATTCAAACAAAAAGAAGCTTTCCTTTTCTTCCACTTATCCGGGGTCGGGTTGCGGGGGTAGCAGCTTAAGTAGGGAGGCCCAGACATCTCTCTCCCCAGCCACTTGGTCCAGCTGCTCCGGGGCAATCCCAAGGCATTTCCAGGCCAGCCGAGAAACATAGTCCCTCCAGCATGTCCTGGGTCTTCCTCTGGGTCTCCTCCCGGTGGGACGTGTCCGGAACACCTCACCTGGGAGGCATCCAGGAGGCATCCTAACCAGATGCCCGAGCCACCTGAACTGGCTCCTCTCAACGTGGAGAAGCAGCGGCTCCACTCCTGAGTCCCTCTCGGATGACCGAGCTTCTCACCCTATCTCTAAGGAAGAGCACAGACACCCTGCAGAGAAAACTCAATTCGGCCGCCTGTATCCGTGATCTTGTACTTTCAGTGGGGGCCGAGATGGTGTAGAGGCAGGGCAGCCGGCTTGGGACCCGAAAGTCCCAGGTTCGATCCCCAGTCACTGCACATCACGTGGTGTCTCTGGGCAGCACGCCTCATCCCCAAAATGCCCGCCGGGCGCTTTCAATAGTTGCCCACTGCACCACCTGGTGGTGGATGGGTTAAATGCAGAGACTAATTTCGCCATTGTATGGAAACATACAGTGCTGACATTGTGATGACATTATTATTATTATTATTATTACAACCCAAAGCTCATGATCATAGAGGGTAGGAATGTAGATCGACCGGTAAATTGAGAGCTTCGCATTTTGACTCCGCTTTCTCTTCACCACTACAGACCTGTACTGCGCCCACTTCACTGCAGATGCTGCACCTATCTGCCTATCGATCTAACGTTCAATTTTTCCCTCATTCGTGAACAAGACCCCAAGATACTTGAACTCCTCCACTTGGGGCAGGACCTCCTCCCTGACCCGGAGAGGGCACTCTACCCTTTTCTGGCTCAAGACCATGGCATCGGATTTAGAGGAACTGAGCTTCATCCCGGCCGTGTCATACTCGGCTGCAAACAGCTCCAGCGAAAGCTGTAGATCATGATCTGATGAAGCCAATAGGACCACATCATCTGCAAAAAGCAGGGACGCAATCCTAAGGCCACCAAAACGGATCCCCTCAACACCTTGGCTGTGCCTAGAAATTCTGTCCATAAAAGTTATGAACAGAATCGGTGACAAAGGGCAACCTTGGCAGAGTCCAACTCTCACCGGGAGCAAGCCCGACTTACTGCCAGCAATGCCGACCAGGCTCTGACACCAGTCATACAGGGACCTAACAGCCCATATCAAAGGGACAGGTACTCCATACTCCCAGAGAACCCCCCCACAGGGTTCCCCGAGAGACGCCATCGAACTCATTCTCCAAGTCCACAAAGCACATGTAGACTGGTTGGGGAAACTCCCACGCACCCTCCAGGACCCTGCTGAGAGTGTAGAGCTGGTCCAGTGTTCCATGACCAGGACAGAAACTGCACTGCTCCTCCTGAATTCGAGGTTCGACTATCCAATGGACCCTCCTCTCCAGAACCCCCAAATAGACCTTACCAGGGAGGCTTAAGAGCGTGATCCCCCTGTAGTTGGAACACATTCTACGGTTCCCCTTTTTGAATAGGGGGACCACTATCCGGTCTGCCAATCCAGGGGAACTTCCCCCGATGTCCACGCAATATTGCAGAGGCACGTAAGCCAACACAACCCTACAACATCCAGAGTCTTAAGGAACTCCGGGCGAATCTCATCCACCCCTGGGGCCCTGCCACCGAGGAGCATTTTAACCACCTTGGTGACCTCAGCACCAGAGATTGGAGGGCCCGACCCAGAGTCCCCAGGCTCCACTTCTTAGTGGAAGATATGCCGGTAGGATTGAGGAGGTCTTCAAAGTACTCTGCCCACTGACCCACGACATCCCGAGTTGAGGTCAGCAGCACACCACTCCCACTATAAACAGTGTTGGTGGTATACCGCTTTCCCCCCCTGAGACGCCGGATGGTGGACCAGAATTGCCTCGAAGCCATGCGGAAGTCGTTCTCCGTGGCCTCTCCGAACTCCTCCCATGCCCAAATTTTTGCCTCAGCGACCACCAGGGCTTCATGTCGCTTGGACTGACGGTACTCATCAGCTTCTTCCGGGGTCCCACAGGCCAAAAAGGCCCGATAGGACTCCTTCTTCAGCCTGACAGCATCTCTCACAGACGGTGTCCACCACCTGGTTCGAGGGTTGCCACCACGACAGGCATCGACAACCTTGCGGCCGCAGCTCCCGGGAATCCGCCTCGACAATAGAGGCACTGAACATGGCCCACTCGGGCTCACTGTCCCCCACCTCCCCCAGAACATGTTCCAAGTTCCGCCGGAGGTGGGAGTTAAAGCTCCGTCTTAGAGGAGACTCTGCCAGACATTCCCAGCAAACCCTCACAATACGTTTGGGTCTGCCAGGTCTGACCGGCATCCTCCCCCACCATCGGAGCCAACTCACCACCAGGTAGTGATCAGTGGACAGCTCCGCCCCTCTCTTCACCCGAGTGTCCAAGACATGCGGCTGCAGATCAGATGAGACGATGACAAAGTCGATCATCCAACTGTGGCCTAGGGTGTCCTGGTGCCAAGAGCACATATGGACACCCTTATGCTTGAACATAGTGTTCGTTATTGACAATCCACGACGAGCACAGAAGTCCAACAACAGAACACCACTCGGGTTCAGATCAGGGGGGCCGTTCCTCCCAACCACACCCCTCCAGGTCTCACTGTCATTGCCCAGGTGAGCATTAAAGTCCCCCAGCAGAACAAGGCAGTCCCCAGGAGGTACACTTTCTAGTACCCACACCAAGGACTCCAAAAAGGGTGGATAATCTGAACTGCCATTTGGTGCATAAGCACAAAAGACATTCAGAGCCCATCCCCCCACACGTAGGCGGAGGGAGGCCACCCTCTCATTCACCAGGGTGAACCCCAACACACAGGAACCAAGATGGGGGTCAATAAGTATGCCCACTCCTGCTCGACACCTCTCACCAGGGGCAATTCCAGAGTGGAAGAGTGTCCAATCCCTCTCAAGGAAACTGGTTCCAGAGCCAGAGCCATGTGTAGAGGTTAGTCTGACTATTTCTAGCTGGAACCTCTCAACCTCACACACCAGCTCAGGCTCCTTCCCCACCAGTGAGGTGACATTCCACGTCCCAATAGCCAGCTTCTGTAGCCGAGGATCAGACCACTGGGGTCCCCGCCCTCTGCTATCACCCATCCCATATTGCACCTGACCACTTTGGCCCCTCCCACAGGTGGTGAGCCCATGTCTCCTCTTTGGGCTGTGCCCGGCCGAGCTCCATGGGTAAAAGCCAGGCCACCAGGAGCTCACCCGCGTGCCTCACCTCCAGGCCTGGCTCCAGAGTGGGGCCCCGGTGAGCCTCGTCCGGGCGAGGTAACATCAAGTCCATTTCTTTTTCTCATCATAGGGGTCTTTGGGCTGCACTTTGTCTGGTCCCTCACCTAGGACCTGTCTGCCTTGGGTGACCCAACTAGGGGCGTAAAGCCCCAGACAGCATGGCTCCTAGGATCATTGGGACACTCAAACCCCTCCACCACGGTAAGGTGGCAGCCCAGGGAGGGGCTAAAA